CTTCTCCTCTCTGCTCTCTGCCAGCCCAAATCTTGCACAGTTGCCACCGCTGGTGGTAGCGTAGCTGAATGGCCTCTTGTGACAAATTCTTCTGAAACCTGTGAGCGGGCCCTGCTGCCTTATCCGTGCCTGAAAGGGTAAGCCTCCAAGGAGGGTTTGACCGCCACTTCTGCATGTTGTTTCCTCCAAACATCTTAGCTGGCTCCACTGGCTCCACACATGTATTGCAAAACGATGAAACCTACACTGGATGACATGCTTGACATGTTGATAAAGTACTCTATATGACATGGTGCGAGTCACCATTTCCACCGCAGGCCTCTGCTGCACCTTGTAGGTTATATTGCTTGCGCAAACAATTCAACGGTATTTTGGCTCCTGTCATCAATGGATGTTCAGGGTATATCTTTGCATTCTTTTTCTGCAAGAGGACTCCGCTGTAGTTGCAACAATTGAAGGTCGTCATCACCCTCAACCTTCCCTGCATCTGAGAATCTATGAGCTGAGAGGGGTAAGGCACGACAACTGTGAGGCCAAACACTACAACCGCCCCAAAATGTCAGCTGGCGAGTCTTCTCCTCTCTGCTCTCTGCCAGCCCAAATCTTGCACAGTTGCCACTGCTGGTTGTAGCTGAATGGCCTCTTGTGGCAAATTCTTTTGAAACCTGTGAGCGGTTCTCAGCCTCAAGACCAATGTAGATGTTGCTGTTTGTTGGATCATTAGTTCATGGTTTCCTTTCGCCACACTTTGGCGACTTGGAGTTCAGTTTCACGCAGTCTGTGCTACGCTAGCTAGAATCGCATCTGCCAGCTTTCAGCCTCTCTACTCAATGCCTCGAGACAGCTTTCGCGGATGCTTTGTGACTGGAGTGCATTGTTAGAAAAATTAAGGCTTCCATAATTCGCTCGCAGCAAGTTCAGTTCACGCTTGGCATCTCTCTCAAATCCAACACAACTCTTTAAAATGTTAGAAGAAGGGCTGGCCGCCGGCCGCTGCTGGATGGAGCATTTGTTTGCAAACACCCACCAGTGGGGCACCCAAAATGACCGACGTTCGCGGTTCGTAGAACAAACGGCCACATCAGCCTCCATCCCCAGATCACCTGCAAACCCAACACCGATATCAGCAACCCCGGTTGTCCAGTTGTTTAGGGTCTTGTTGACTGCAAACCCAACTGCCTGGCAGTTGGCCTGACGCAGCGCTCCAGGCTGAAAGGCACCTGAGGGGCTAGTTGCTCTGTGATAGATAGGTGCAGGCAGGTCTGGGCGGATGATGAGCAAAACGTCTTCCTACAAACACAGCAGTAGGGACCGCAGCAGCTAGATGGTAGCCCTGCGTCTGTGGACTTGACTCTACATGACTCCCGCCACATCACGTCAGCATCATCTCCACCTGCCTTTGAATACTCTCCAAACATCTTTAGCTCGCAAAGCAGCTTCGGCAAAAGCCAGCAAGGACTTTGTAATCCACAAATCAGGATCTTGACCAATAGGCTTGACTTGGATTCACAGAGAAGTCCATGTTTTCCAAATGGTGTGGTCACACTAATTTGACAGCTTACAAGCTGCTTGTCTTCGGGCCTTGGCACTGTCCAGGCCTTGAAAAGATTTCCTTGCCTTGAAATCAATAAAGTTAGTAACGGTCAAACTTTGTGGCGGCAGGTCATCAGGATTTGGTGAGCGTGTTATCGTTGTCCATCTGCATCACATTCTGTTTGGTGAATGTGATGTTTCTGTGTCAGTGTTCGAGCAAAACCATTTCGAGATCCCACGACCACTCACTGACAGTAGCTCACGACCCTTCATCACACCCCTAAGTTTTGGAAGACATGCCAAATTGATGTGTGTTGGACCGTGTCGCAAGCCTCAACACAGAATCGAGGAGGATTGTTTGCTTCCGAACAAACTCGCTGTTGCTGGTCTCTATTCCACACTTCTAGACCATGTGTTTAATTTTGTATTGTATAAGGTATCATGACACAACTTCCATGATGCCCTTCTTGCTTTTGATCGTGAACAACTTCCAGAAAGAATAGCGGCTCCTGGTTAGATCCCATCCAATTATTTCACAATCATATCGAGAGCAGCAGATTGCACTCGGTCATTAATCTACTCCTAGTGTAAGCATGTTTTGAGCTGAGCTGAGCTGACATGGTTCATGGACGCGCAAGCCTACATCTCAAATCAGTCTGTTGAATTCATCTTGGCTAAGGCTACGGACACGGCTCTTCCATACACATCGTGTGGCCTGTTTGCACAACAATTTGGCTGAAATTCAATGAACGGTGCACAGGACATCGCAGGCAAAATCTGGCTTTGTGGTCGTCTGTCGTTAGGATGAGTCTAGAGTCTATTCCTCTAATTGATCCTTGTTCAAACAAGGAGTCAAGGAGCTACAAGCAGTTTCCGGCTTGCATGCGTGCACCTATCTAGCCACACTCCCCGATTGGAAACCAAAAAAATTTGTAAGGAATCTGAACGCGGCTGCATGCAGTGGGCAGCCTTTTAACGTAAAGCCAGTTCTCTTGCTTGACGTCCAGTTGACTGTTGTAAACTGCAGAGTTTCCAGGCACTACAAGCGGCATCTAACCAAGGTCAGGTAATTTGTTACCGACAATCAATCGGCCTTGTACTGAAAACAACAGTAGAACCGCAGAACAGCTGATATAGCCCAGAACGAGGTA